TGTGCGCCTGCTAGCACCACCGCGGCGGGTGGTCTGGCACCCGAGGCATGTCCAAGCTCCTCGGGATGGGAAGGAGCAGCCCATTGGGGCTCAGGGTACGGATGTCCCTGCACTGCTCAGGCAAAAACCTGGCTCACTGCGACGGCTACAAGACGGCCATGCCATTGCTCGCAATCGGGATGCTGACTGCATCAGCTGGCTGCTGCCTCCCAAACGTGGCTGGGCACCATCTGCCCTGGCTGCCGGGGGCGAGGCTTCCAGGCTCGGGCTGCAGACACAGGGGAGGTTTGCCTCACTTACCCTTGAAGACGCGGGTGGCCCAGCGACACTGAAGCTCAGACATGGGCATGATGGCACCCAGGGGCTGGATGAGGCCAATGAAAGCCAGCGTTGGCTTCTCCAGGTCGGGAGGGAACATGAATTTGTAGAGGGGGATCTCGTTCTCCACCACCTTCCCGCAGCCCTCAAGGAAGGGGAAGGAGAAGCTGTATCCCGTGGCAAAGACCACGGCGTCGATATCTTCCCTGGTGCCATCCTCGAAGATGGCAGACGTCTCCATGAACTCCTGGATGTTTGGCTTCACCAGCACCCTGCCTGAAATGATGCGGTTGGGCAGGTCATCGCTGACAGTCGGGTGCTGGTCAAAGATCCTGGAAGGCACAGGCAGACCTCGGTGCGGGGCCCGGACAGTGGGATGGGCAGTGGGATGGGCAGTGGGACAGGCAGTGCTGTGGCAGGTTCCCGGGGTGCTGCCAGGGCACTCACTGGTGCTGGGGCTGGAGGCCATAGAGCGTGTGGTTGAAGCGGGTGTTCATCTTCCTCTCCAGGTAAAAGGAGGAGACTTTGCTGGGCAGCACTCCCCAGAGGAGCTGTGTGAAGCGGTTGATGTAGGAGACATCGGAGGGGTACCCGCCCTCCGCCACCCGGTACAGCACCCAGGTCCCACGCTTGGTGCTGAGGAAGACCTGGGAGGAAGGAGAGGGGAGGTGGTGGCATGGCAGCATCCTCGGGACCAGGCTTGGCCCCGGCCATGCTCCTCAGACAGGGATGCTGGCACAGCTGCTGGGACCACAACAGCCACCTGCATCGAGAGGGGACGGGGTGCTCATGGCTGCGTGCTGGAGGGAGGGGAGCCCACGGGATAGCAGGGGGTTGCTTGGTGCCCTCTGGGGACCGAATAATAAGCACCCCAGCCCCAGGGGGCTCTCCCAGTGCACCTGCTTGGCTGTGTGGCTCAGCTCCACTGCAATGTCGACGCCTGAATTCCCGGTGCCAATCACGACCACCCGCTTCCCTGAAAAGGGCTGTGGGCTTTTGTAGTCCCGGCTGTGCAGGTACCAGCCCTCAAACTTTTCCAGCCCTGGAAAAGAGAGGGAAACCATGCCGGTCAAGGATGCGGAGCAGGGGGCGGCTGTCCCCCTGCTCAGCCTGGTAATGTGTTTTGGGAACAGGCTGGGAGATGGTCAGTCTGGCCCTGGGCATCCTGCTCTGGCTTTGGGGCTGGCCTGGCTTGGAGCAGGGCTTGGACTGGAGACCTCCATGCTCCCATCCCAAAATCCTCCTGCAGTTCCTGCCCAGTGCCAGGCATCGGGGGCAGAGGAGCAGCTGGGTTCTGTGCCATCCCACCAGACCCTGGTGATGGTGTGCTCCAGCGTGTTCCCCACCCAAAGAGGGTCTCCATAGCTGAAAGCCCTCCAAGCATTTTTGCCTGGCACCCAGAGGAGAAGGTCACCACCAGCGCTGAGCTCTCAAGCCTTGCTGGGGAGCCGGAGAGCCCAGCGGGTGCGCGGCCAGCAGCTTGGGGAGCCTGTCTCTGGTGGGAGAGGTGAACTGGCAGTGGTGGCGCCTGCCAGTGGGGAACTTTGG